GTATCCTTGATCTCCTCGAGACTTTTATCATGAAGGGCTGTTGGATTTTGCCAAAAGCTTTTTCAACATCTAATGAGATAATCATGGGCTTTTTTTCTTTTCAGTTTGTTTATATGGTGGATTACATTGACAGATTTTCATATATTGAACCATCCCTGCATGTCTGGAATGAAGTCTACTTGATCATGGTAGATTATCTTTTTGATGTGTTCTTGGATTAATTTTGCAAGCATTTTATTATTTTTGCATCTATGTTCGTGAATGATATTGGCCTGTAATTCTCTTTCTTTGTTGATTCTTTTCATGGTTTGGGTATCAGGGTGACTGTGGCCTGATGAAATTAATTTGGTAATGTTCCTTTTGTTCCTGTTTTATGGAATAATTTGAGGAGTATTGTTATTAGCTCTTCTTTGAAATTCTGCGAGACTTCTGTGCTAAAACAATCTGTCCCTGAACTATTTTTGGTTGGGAGACTTTTAATGATTGCTTCTATTTCCTTAGTGGTTATAGGTCTGTTTAAATTGTTTATCTGATCTTGACTTTAAGTGATTTCTATCAAGAAATTTGTCCATTTCTTTTAGATTTTTCCAATTCCAATTTAAATTTCTTGATTTCCCTGGTGTCTGTTATTATGTTCCCCTTTTTGTTCCTAATTTTGTTATTTTGGATATTTTCTCTGTGTCTTTTAATTTGTTTGGATAAGGGTTTGTATATCTTGTTGATTTTCTCAAAGAGCCAACTCTTGTTTCATTGATTCTTTGTATTGTTTGTTTCCATTTGTTTCCATTCTATTCATTTCTATTTTATTATTTCCTGCCTCTTGGATGTGTTTGCTTTTTGTTTGTTTGTTTGTTTGTTTGTTTGTTCTAGAGCTTTCAGGTGTGCTGTTAAGTTGCTTTGTGAGATCTCTCCAAATTCCTTATGCAGGCACTTTGTGCTATGAACTTGCCTTTTAGTGCTGCTTTCCTTGTGTCCCATAGGTTTGGGTATGTTGTGCACTCATTTTCATTGAATTCCATGAAATCTTTAATTTCTCTATTTCTTCCTTGACACAGTAGACATTCAGCAGAGAACTGTGTTTTCCGTGAGTTTGTAGGCTTTCTGTTTCTGTTGTTATTGAAATCCAGCTCTAATCTGTGGTGGCCTGATAGGATGCGGGGGCTATTTCAATTTTCTTGTGTCTGTTGAGACTTGCTTTGTGACTGAGTATATGGTCAATTTTGGAGAATGTTCTATGAGGTGCTGAGAAGAAAGTATACTTTTTTTTTTTTTGTATTTGGGTGAATGTTCCATAGATAGTTATTAGATCCATTTGTTTCATAAAGTCTGTTAGCACCAGTATTTCTCTGTCTTGCTTTGTTTGGATGACCTGTCTATTAGTGAGAGTCAATATGTGTGTGAGGGTTAATATGTGACTTAAGCTTTAGTAATGTTTCCTTTACAAACATGAGTGCCCCTATTTTGGAGGTGTTGATGTTGTGAATTAAACCATCATCTTGGTGGACTTTTCTTTTGATGGATATGAATTGTCCTTTCCCGCCTCTTTTGATAAAGTTTGGTTTGAAGTCTATTTGTTAGATATTAGAGTCACTACACCAACTTGATTCTTGGGTCCATTTGCATGGAAAATCTTTTTCCAACCATTTATTCTGAGAAAATGTCTGTCTTTGATGTTGAGGTGTGTTTATTGTATGCACCAGAAGGATGTATTCTGTTTCCCCATTAATTCTGTTACCTTGTGTCTTTTTTTTTTTTTTTTTTTTTTTTTTTTTTTTGGTGAATTGATTCCATTGATATTGAGAAATATCAATGACCAATGATCCTTAATTCCTGTTATTTTGATGGTGATAGTGTGTGAAGAGAGAATTGTTTCCCTTCTTTTGATTTTGCTGGTGTGAAATCATTTCCAGTGTTTTCTTTTTATTCCAGTTCCCTCTCCCTCCCTCCTTCCCTTTCTCCCTTCCTCCTATGCCTCCACCCTCCCATCCCATCCCCCCAACTCCACAGGGAGGGTGATGCCTTCCAGGAGGGGTCAACAAAATCTGTCAAGTCATTTGGAGTCCTGTGTTTTCATAGATATAGTTAACCTCCTTAGGTTGGAGTTTTTCTTCTAGCACCTTCTGTAGGGCTAAATTTGTAGCTCAATACTATTTAAATTTAACTTTGTCATGGAATATCTTGCTTTCTCCATCTATAGTGGTTGAAAGTTTTGATGGGTATTATAGTTTGGTCTGGCATCTATAGTTTCATAGCGTCTGCAGCACATCTATTCAAGCCCTTCTGGATTTTAGTCTCCCCTGAGATGTTGAGTGTGACTCTAATTATTCTACCTTTATGTTACTTGGCGTTTCTCCTGTTTTGCCCTTCAATGGTCTTTCTTTTTTCTTTACCTTTAGTGTTTGATTGTTATGTGGTGAAGGGAATTTCTCTTCTGATTCAGTATATTTGGCATTCTTTAAGCTTCTTGTGCTTTATAGGAATTTCATTCTTTATGTTAGGAAAGTTTTCTTGGATGATTTTGTTGAAGATGTTTTCTGGGCCTTTGATCTGGGTATCTTCTCCTCCTATTCCTATTATTTTTAGGTTTGGTCTTTCCATATTGTCAGGAACTTTTTAGATTTAGCATTTTCTTTGGCTACTGTATCAATTTCTTCTATTGTATCTTCTATGCCTGAGATTCTCTCTTCCATCTCCTATATTCTGTTGGTGATCTTGCACCTGTAGTCCCTGTTCATTTATCTGTATTTTCTATCTCCAGGATTCCCTCAGTTTGTGTTTTCTATATTGCTTCTACTATCATTTTCAGGTCTTGATTGATTTTATTCATTTCCTTCACCTGTTTGTGTTTTCCTGGATTTCTTTAAGGGATTTGTTCATTTCTTCTTAAAGGACCTCTATCATCCTCATGCGATTGGATTTAAGGTCATTTTCCTGTGCTTGTACTGTGTTGTAATATCCAGGGTTTGCTGTGGTAGTATAGGTGGGCTCTGGTGGTGCCATATTTCCCTGGGTGTTATTGAGTATATTCTTACATTGGCTTCTAGTCTCCTGGGCTTGAGTGCTGGTTTCTAAGTTTATTTTTGTTGGATGGATGCTTTTTGGTTGTTTTTCCCCTTGCTTTCTGGTCTTATGACCTAAGTGGCCTGTGGTTCTGGTGACCATCAAGTCTCCAGGTCCAGTAATGTGTCTCTGCTAGGATTTTGGTGGACTGCTTGAACTCTGGAGTTTTGGGTGCTAGCTTTGCTTCTAGGGTCCTGGGTTTCTGAGAACTGGTGTAACCTCTGGGTTCTGGATACTGGTGTGGTCTCTAGGGTTATAGGTACCTGGGTCTCCTAATACCAATGTGAACTCCAGTAGAGCAAGTGTCTTGTGATGTTCCTAGTACCAATTGAGCAAGAGTTGTCTGCCAGGCTGTGGGCTTGGATATGGAGCTCAGGGAAAAAGGTGCTGTGGGTGACTTCTGGGCAGGCTCTGGGGTTTCTTGTACCAGCATGGCCTCCAATATGATGAGTCTTCTGCCAGGGGACATGGGCCAGAATATGGAGCCCAGGAGAGTGGGGTGCTGTTGGGACTTCTGGGTGGGGCTTAAGGGGTATTAGTAGGTAGTGGATAGTGTCTTGGCTGGGGTATAGCCTCTGGTAGAGCAGGAGTCTTCCGCCAGAGGATTGTAGGCCAGGATCAAAAATTAAAAATTTAAATAGAACTCATTAAAACTGATGATGTGGTTTAAGGGATAAAGCTACTTATCGCCAAACTTGATAACCTGAGTTTGATCTCTGGAATCCACATGGTGGAAAGAAGAAAACAACTACACAAGTTGTCCTCTGATTTCCACATATATGCTATGACATTTACACACATGCATATACACATACATACACACATATACACACTCACACTCAGACACTCACACACACACACACACACACACAAATGCCACTAATGAGTGATCAAAGGGGCAACTTAATCCGGTAAAGTACACTTCTCCCACATACCACAGATTAGGAGACAATGGATACCCAGCTCTCGGTACTATACCACTCTTGGGACCAGCATGGGCAGAAGCCATTCCAGTCTGGGCTTGTGGAGGTGGGGTGACTAAAACACACTGATGATGCTGGATGGACTGTCTGACACACCTTTGGTCATAGGTGCTAACAAGACAGGAAGCAGTTCAAATAGGAGTCCACAGAGGAAAGCAAGACTGACCAGAACATAGACCCAAATAGGCCAGCAGGAAAGCATTGAGCAGAGGCTCCCTGGGACTTAGACTCACCCAGCTCACCTGCCATGGGGGAAAATCCAGGTCTGATTTTTCTCCAGTGTTTCATTCATGGCACAGTAAAAGACGTAAACTGCACCACTCTGTCACACACCCCAATATACTAATAATTAACATCAGTAGTCCCTTTTCTTTTCTACATCTGAGTTGCTGATCACACTCAAGAAAGGAAGAGAGAAGCCAAATTGTGTAGCTTGTGAGCTCCATGAGAGCAGGACACAGAATTGCATATTCATCTATGTATGTTGATAGATGCTTCTTTTCAATAGTTGTTGAAGAAATAAATTACTCTACAAGATCCATAGCTTAATCACAAAGAAGAGAGAGGTAATGGGCCTTCTCGTGGTGGAGGGGGTCTTAAAAGCCACTCTTCAATCAAACCTGTGGGTATTTCCAAGAAGCCATCCACATCTGTGCATCCTCTGCCACGTGCCATCCCATCTCTCTTCAGGCTGCATGACTGCATGGCTCAGAGCATGCTGGATGAGCCCTGCTGCTGGCGTGGGCACTGGGAGGTGACCCATTGCTCGTGCCTGTTCTTGCCGTGGGAGAGGGATGGGAAATCCAGACTCTGCTCTGCTGATGAGAGAGGCCCCCTTGCATATGTCAACTGAATGGTGACCAGAACTTCCTCAGAGTGCCTCTCCAATGACAATAAAAGTGTGCTGTGCTTTTTAAATGAATGGAATTGGTAAAATGTTTTCTTACTTTTTCCTAGACATCGCCTGGTGGTATTACCAGTATCAGAGAGGTAAAAAAAAAAAAAAAAAAAAAAAGTCTACACCAACTTGATAACTTGACTGTCTCGCTGTCTCAGTCACATTACTTGAAAAGGAAGAACTTCTCAATTAATTGTATATTCTGCAATTAGCTTTCTTATTCACCAGATTTTTGTGTGTCCCTTGTTATCAAACTTGGTCTGTATAGAAATGGCTAGGGGTGTTCTTTTGGAGCCGAGGTTTAACAAAAGCTTCGTTCCCCCTAGGAGACTCATATTTTCCCTTCCATGGTAATTGGACATCTAGAAAATAAAGCTCAGAGCTGAGTTGTAGTTTAAGTACACTAACTGTTTAGAACAAATGATATGAATTCTCTGTCCTCCTCCCCTCCCCCAATATTGTCCAGAATGCCAATCAAATCAGCATTTTTGAAGCAGTTTTTCTTTATCTGTTTTTATTATATTATTTAGTTCCTATGATCTGCATCAAGTTCTTTGTGAAACAAAATAGAATGCTTAAATAGAGACAGGAGAAAGATAGGTGGTGTGGAGGTTAAACTGGTCTGCGTCATGATCCAGACTCAACGGCCTCCAAGTCATGCAGGCAGTGTAATGGCATTAAAAAAGACCCTGAGGTGATACAAGTATGACACACACCTTTGATCCCAGCACTCAGGAGGCAGAGGCATGCAACGAGTTCAGGACCAGCCTGGTCTACAGAGTGAGTTCTTGGTCGGCCAGAGATTATGCATAGAGAGACTATGGCTCAAAACAACAGAAAGAAAAGGAAGGAAGGAAAGAAGGAAGGAAAGAAGGAAGGAAGGAAGGAAGGAAGGAAGGAAGGAAGGAAAGAAGAGTTCTAGGTGAATGGGGGTCCTGGTGACTCTACCTAATCAGAGTGTCCAGCCCCTGCTTGGCTTTAGTAGATGATGACCTGGTGAGAATTGGAGACTCAAGATTTGCTAAGAGAAATCAAAAATTCAAACTTGGTCATGGATTTCTTGTCTACAAATGTTAGCAACTTGTTTAAAATTTATCTATCTATTTCATAAAAAATAAGAGCTTCTGTATATTTCTTACAAACAAAACCTCTTTTTGGACTACATTCAAACCAAGGAATGGAATGGGTGGATGGGTGGTTATAAAGTACAACCCTGATCCCCCTTCGTGTGTGCATGTGCGTGCACACACACACACACACACACACACACACGAGAAACTGTATTCTAAGCAAGGTAGGAGGTAGTCATAGTTATAGTTTTGGGTCATGGCCTTTGTCATCAGCTAAAGGAGATATTCACTGCCAGATGTTCTCCCCAGGTGTGAGTCATGACTTGTACACAGGTATCACATTTGTTAGGAGCAGGAATTCCTCAAGGCTGGTAACAAACCAGCTTACAGCCTGTGCTCCAATGAAGTAGAAGCCACTGTGGGGACATACGGAAGCAGAATCTGGTGGCAGAATCCTGGACTGGCTGGAATCAAGGTCCAGCTTTGTCACTGTTGGCCTATGTGACCCAAGCCTCAGACAAAAGGAGTTAATGACAGAGCTTGGGAAAGATTGACAATAGTAGACCTTTGTTTGGACTCTGTTTAAAAGATACAGAATTCACTGGAGGTATTGGGGGCTTGGTAGAACACACTTTTTCTGAGAGGGTCTAAAGTCTCCATCCATCCTTACACCCAGGACCACCCAATACCCCAAAGTATTAAAAAACCACTTACCCTGAACCATACACTGTTTTGCCTGGGATTCTCCACTGTAGCATCCTCTACAATTTATTGTTCTGGCTCACATTCACCCTCAGTGGCAGACATTCATCACCTTGCGAGTCACTTGTAGTTAGAAAGTCACCTTCTCTATTAAGATAAGTGATTTCTAACTATCAGACAGGGAGGGCACTAGACCACTCACCCCCACCCCCACCATACATAAAGTCACATGAAAGTAGTTAATAGATTTCTAATAGAACGTTACAAAGAGAAGATAATACTCAGTGATTTTTATCAAACAGAAATTTCCATGCCGTTAACCTCAAGATTAGTTTTGATTCGATCTGACTTAATAATTAGTTCATCATTATCTTTAACAATGAAAATAATAACAGCATGCAGTGTTGAAGACGCACAAACACCAAAGTGGTAAGGAGACTGCCTGTGTGTTAATTCTGGCTTTGTCTAACCAGGGAGCTGGGCCAGTGTCTCATCTCTACCGGTTCTGCCTAGAGGGAATCCCTGACTGGCTACAGGAGAGATGTGAAAATCACCCTGCCTAAATTTCCCCTGCATATATTTAAAGTGACCCAGAACAAAAAGGCTACAAGGTGGTATGAAAGAGAGGAAATGTTAAATGTGGGCAAGTCTAGACAAGTGCAAAAACTGTGTACAAGTAAACTATTGTTTTCCATTCAAAGGCCGTGACTCATGAGGGTCACAGTGGCACATCAGTCAAAGACAGCACTGCCTCACAAAGTTTTGCCTCCAAATTTTTCACACACACACACACACACACACACACACACACACACACACACACAATGGCATGCATTTATGCATATACTGGACTGTTAGATAAGTTACAATTTTACTTACTGGTTTAAACCACTATTAGCCATTGGCGGCTATTCCCTACACCTTGAGCCTCAAGAAATAGAATTTCTCCTGTCATGGATATGACCACAGACTGATTATTAGTGAAAGATAAAGCCAGAAAGCAGAAGCTTGACCATCAATAACCAAGTATTCACAACCTGCAGAATCTCTGTAATCTGAAACTCGATCCTGCCTCCCAGACCAAGGCTATCTGGTCAATAAGGAGAGACTCCACCTCAATAAAGTCCATTTAATAGTTGGTGACTCAATGATTAGCACTTTTTTAATAAGGTAATGAGACATGAGTGCTGGTTATGAGTTGAAAAATTTCTTTTAAACATCTGCAAAAAAAAAAAAAAAAAAAAATTCCCTTAGCTTATAAGGAATCCAGCCTCAGGGAGATTAAGAAATAGCACAAGACCACACACATGCACACACACAACAGAGAGACACACAGAGAGAGAAACTTTATTCTTCTGGACGCCTTAACAACAAATCTTTTCTTTCAAAAATATAATTTTCTATTTTCTTACCTATATTTTAGTAAAATTATGCTGATTCTTCTTCCTTTACTGGAACTACCTGGGTATGCCCAGTGGATCCTTTGAGGGGCAATATGCGGAGTGTGTTATAAACCTCTAGAGCCCCTTCAGAAGTTTCTTCAGATATACACAGCTAAAGATACACGCATTTTTGTGCTAGAACTAACCTGCAACTGATTTCTTAGAATGCATTTGAGATCTCATGAGGCACCTGTGAGCTTCCCACATTACACTCATAGGGACCTCCCTGTGTGTTGCTTTTTCTTCTGGGCACTTTTGATTTACACAGACACCTTCTACATTCAGGTAGTTGGTAGTTAGCTCATTAGCAAACCTAGCAATAATTAAAGGCTCTGTAAGGATTATGAGGAAATTGGCCACTTGCTACAATGTAACATAAACACAGCATCTTATTTATATGGAATCATTATTTACCTCTGTCACAGAAGGATTAGGTGATATGTGTTATCCAGCACATAAGAAAGATAACAATTAGCTCTGCTGCCACAGTGTTGGAGTCTCTCTCTAACATCCATTTCCGTTGGGACTCTGCACACAATATAAATTTTGATGGATTTGTTTTGTATTTGGATTTAAGTATCAAAGGAGAAAGTGACAATAGCAAAGAAAATCTGGAGCAAAGAGCCCAACCCTGATCACAGCGGGTTGAAGGTTTTGCACCTGCTCACCCTGTCCTGTGATGCAAACCCAGCCTGCCTCCTCTCTGACTTACCTCAGGGCAGCATGGTCTGCGTGTTCCCAGCAGCCTGGCCATCTCACCCTTGTTTTCAGCAGGTGGAAGTGGGAATTGTTCAATATATGGATTTGCTGATGCCTGTGTGACAACAGGCAGCGTAGGGTAGATGGTAAATGATCCTTGACTGGAATAAATTTACAAAAAGCATTCTGGCAGAGCCCAAAGGAAAGTACTCACTTATTCCTGCATGAAGCTAAACTCCTGGAAGCGCCACTGATGGATGAACTTTGACTTGCTTCAAAGGAAGATAAGTAGATTCAGCTGACAGGCACATCATAAACAAACAGTGCAACATTAAACCTTATTTCAATGCACACTCTGTTAGACCCTATTGTTTCAGCGCACACACTGGAAGTTGAACCCCTACCATCCAGACTGTTTGTAGATCCTTCCCAACACCCTGGAAACTTTTATTTATACAAAGGCACACAAATTGAAGTCACTTCCCCAGTACTTAAGAATATCTAGCAGATACTATAAAACAATACCCTGTCAAATATATTCAGATTCTGTAAAGTCACATTTAACATACCATAATTTGAACTCTCCACTAAGTCTCCCTAGCATCTCCCTTGCTAGCTCACATGTGAACATCTATCCTTTTTTAAAGATAGGTGTGATTTGTTCCCCCTTCCTATTGGGAAGCTTTCATCCTGCTCTGTTACTTGTGTCTCTATATAAAAAGCAGGGTCAGTGGGCATTAATGTGCATATGCTAAGAAGGTAATTTGAAAGAGATGTTTACGTATGATTGTGCTTTGAACACTTCTACCCTCATCTCCCTATCTGAGTGCTGATGTTCCCTCTGCTTTGTGCCTGCCACACCTACAGTAACAGAGTAGACAGTTAATGAAAGCTGTTAATGGGTGGGGAGTGGGACTCAATGCCCAGGACCACCTACAGTGTGACCCAGCCCAACCCCACCCAAGTCCCAGGTCCCATCATCACTCTTTTCACAGCTCAGACTTTGGCCTGTTCTGATGCCATTCCCTCTGCTTCCAGACAAGATCGAGGATGAGCTAGAGATGACCATGGTTTGTCACCGGCCTGAGGGACTGGAGCAGCTTGAGGCCCAGACGAACTTCACCAAGAGGGAGTTGCAAGTCCTTTACCGAGGATTCAAAAATGTAAGACCCCCAGAGGCTTTGAGGCCTGGTGTGATTTCCCGCATAGCCAAGCCCTTCCAGTGCCAAGGGAGTCCCCAATGTGCAGAAGTTCGGGGAGGCCACCACTATGACCCCACACCTGGTGAGAAAGCAAGCTTGCAGGAGGACAAGGCCTCAGCACACAGGAACCTCACCCACTGCACAGAAGCGCCACAGGGTAGGGTGACCTCAGAGAAGCCCTCCCAGCCCAGGTGCTAACCTTATCTTAACATTCACATCTTACCCTTGCTGGGTGTCCAAACAGGGATGGGAGTGAGCTCTACTGATTTGTGCTAATGAGAGCCACAAAGACTGATGTATAAGCCTGAATGTCACTGTGCATGTCTCCTGAAAGTTAGGACCATGGGACCAGACATTTCCCTTCTACTGCTGGAAACTTCTCTTCCTGTGAGCCACACAGAAAGTCAAGTTCTTAGGAAAGAAGCATGGGAGGAAGTTCAAAACTGATGGACACTTGAGTCCATCCCTGCTTTCTGGGCTCCTTTGAGAACTCTCGTACCCCACTCTGGATAAGGAGTTTGGGTTTAAAGCTTACATCTCAGGGCACAATCATATTTCCAAATCACTGGGTGGAATAGAACAGAAGAGGTGTTCTGGTCACTTCCCTTCAGGCACAGCCTACAGGCAGAGTTTGGTCAGCTGTTCTACAGCCTGACTATGCTGGTCACGTGTCTGCTTTGCTGTCATTGGCCTTTCTTCCTTCTAATGTTGAAAGCCCCCATTAATAGTGGCCAGCTGAGCTGGAGCAGGGCCCTGGAAGGTTGTTGCCCAACTGAGCACTTGACTAAGAGGGGAGCAGAAAAGAAGAATGTGCACAGTTTTTGGCATCTACCATAGTCTTAGTACCACCTAATATTGCTAGCTCTGTTGGGAGGAAACTTAGCCACATTTCATGTGTAAGTGTGTTCAAGATCACAGACTGCCTTGGACAAAGCCACAAAGTTTAGAACAGGCTTAACCAGGATCAAAACCTAAACCTTTCTAGCTCTAAAGCCAAGCCTCTCCCAGCACAGTACCTATCCCGTAATGACTTCCCCCTCTCTTGTAAAGTAGCTTTTCATGGTGGGGTAACCTCCAAGACCCCCGTGGAGATACCCAGTGCACAGGTATTTGCCCATTCTCTGCCCAGGAGAGGGCATGAGGAATCTGTCCAGTCTCTACCCCCTAGCATAGCCATTTCTCACTCACTCGTTCTCCAATTCACACAGGAGTGCCCCAGCGGCGTGGTCAATGAAGAAACATTCAAGCAGATCTACGCTCAGTTTTTCCCTCATGGAGGTGAGTATATCCTTAGAAAAATCCTCTCAGCATCCTCTCCAATGGTCAGTCTTCTCTTCCTCCAACTCCCCTTTCCTTTATCTCTGTCTTCCTCAGGGTCAGGGAAGAATTTATGGCAAAAAAAAAAAAAAATTCTTTACTACAAAATAGAGAATTCTCTGGGGGAAAAAATGAACCCCCTCCAGGAAAAGGATTGGTAGTGCAGTATCAGACAGTCTCATAAAGCAGGTGTCATGATCCCAGAAGGAACAATTGAGTTTCAGAGACATTAAGCAATTTACTCAAGATCACACAGCTCATATGTGGCAGACCAGGAACAGAAAGTATATGGGACAAAAGCTTTGTCATCTTGGTTCCTTAAACAGCTAAAATTAGGTTGAAATTTTGTGAACAACATTAGTAAATACTGAAAACCATAAAAATGGTTCAATGAACCAAAACAAATTGTGGGCAGCATGATGTTGTACTCATTTATAAAGCCAGGTCACTGAGGGCATGGACCCCCACCACATACCCAGTTGGGAACAACTCCATACATCAGGGGACCCTTCATTCTGTGACCTTCTTGTGTCACCTGTCACCTCTTCTGTGGTCTAACAAAAAAAGAGTGAAGTATCCCACATCTGTCTTTCTTGGGCCCTCTCTATTGTGGGTCTTTTCAGCTTCCTACAGGTAGCTCCCTGGTGTGGGACTCTGTTGGGGAGAAGTAGCTTCATGTCATGGTAGCACCAGACTCCCAGTTTATAAACATGGTAGAAATGCTGCTTTCACTGTGTGGCAGGCAAGGCTCCGGTTTAGTGTATTTCTTCACATGTTTCAAGAACCCCATCCCACTCTGCAGAGACATGGAATGGATGCTCAGAGACGTCTCATTGCATACCTACAGGCACAGCTACATGGACACAGCTTTGATCCAAGCTCAGGTCTCTGCTCGCAAGGGAATGAACGCTCATGCCATGGCAAAGACCACTACTCAATACATTTCATATCAGTCATCACCACCAGAGAAACAGGTCACACAGAGAAACAGGCAGGGGAGCCATTCTCAAGATGATGAGATAGAAAGGGTTGAGGAACTACCTAACCTTTTGCTAGAACTAGCTTCTCACCTAAACTCCAGGAACTGAGCAAATGAGTCTCACTCCATCCTCCCTCCCCATTCCCTCATCCCACCTCCAGCCTGTTTGCCAGTGTTGTCTCTGCCCTCTGTGGAACCTTGCCCCCCTGCTCACCCACCTTCCCCTCTACTTTGCAGATGCCAGCACATATGCCCATTACCTCTTCAACGCCTTCGACACCACCCAGACAGGCTCTGTGAAGTTTGAGGTACAGTCCCCTGGTTCCACATTGCCTCTCCCTCCAAATCTGGGGATCCTGGAAGAAATGGTTAATTACCAAAAACTTCAATTAAGACAAACTTTACTCATTTAACAAACATCGCCTGAGGATGGAGAAGAGACTTTCCTTGCCCTCTAGACACTGGGGGTGAGGTTGGAGAGACAACTTAAGAGCTCCCTTGTGCCCTGCATGCATGGTAGTAGCCTCTGGATTAGCATTTTGCATGTATTAACCTGTTTAACTTTTTAAATAATTTATTTGAATTAATTTTATGTGCATTGGGGTGAAGATGTCAGATCCCCTGGACCTGGAGAGTTGTGAACTGGCATGTGAATGCTGGGAATTGAACCCAGGTCCTCTGGAAGAGCAGCCAGTGGCCTTAATTGTTGAGCCATCTCTCCATCCCCCAACTTGTTTAACTTTTGTAATAGTGCTACAAGGTAGGGTTGTATTATCATTTTACAGAAGAACAAAGTAAGGCAGAGAGGCTAAGTAGCTTTTCCAAGGTCAAAGATAGAATAAGTGGCCAAAGGGGCTTTTGAGCATAGGAGGTATGTTCCCCAGCCTGGCTCATAGACACTGGAATGTACAGTCCCTCAGACATTAAGTGACCATTGTAGCCATGGGTTAGGATCAGCAGGGGAACCTGAATTTACTGCCTGGAGGTGTTCACACATATGAAGCCTGAGTTTCCTCAGGAGGCATCAGAAACTACAATGATGTGTGTGAGAGAATGGAAGACAGACATTATTTGCTGGGATTGGCCATTTCCATCTTGCTGACAGGAGGACATGGGAGGCACCATTTTGTAAAAGCACCTTAGTCTAACCTGGACGTCAGGCTTCTCTCCACCCACACATGGCTCAGGGATTAATTTTACTCCTGTCTTTTCCACTTCTTAGGACTTTGTAACTGCTCTGTCTATTTTACTGAGAGGGACAGTCCATGAAAAACTAAGGTGGACATTTAATTTGTACGACATCAATAAAGATGGCTACATAAACAAAGAGGTGAGTGCCCAGAAGAAAACAGAGAGTTCTCTGAGGAATGGGTGACAACCAGCAGATCTCATTACCCACAGCCCTGTTCTGCCTAACAAAATCATAGAAGGGAAAGACTGGGAGGGGTGAGCGGCTGTCACAAAAAAATAAAAAGAAAGAGAAAGACAAAGAAAGGGAAGAAGGAAGCGAAAGAGGGAGGGAGAGAGGGAAGGGGGAGGGAGGAAGGAAGGGAGGGAGGGAGGGAGGGAGGGAGGGAGGAAGGAAGGAAGGAAGGAAGGAAGGAAGGAAGGAAGGAAGGGGGGGAAATGCGGAGAATTTCAAAATCTCCACTGCTTGACTCTTAGAGCCTCGGTACATGTTTTCAGCCAGTGAACTGCTCATGGTCTGTCACTCAAGTCAACTGATGTCTGCTATAAACTGGTGTGCCATTGAGGCTTGACATTAACACCTGAGACATCTTGCCGAGCTCCTGTATCTCAGGCATGATGCCTAGAGCTGTAGAGATCGTCTCTAACCTTCACCTCCACTCTGCAAGGTTCTCCTCTCAGTGTATATACACAGCTGAGTTCTCTGTTCATTCAGCCACGTGGGCCCAATACAGATCTGAGAAGTCACTCAGTTTTCTGGGTGCTGGAGGCCAAACAGTGAGAACTCAGATCAGGCCTGGCTGTCATGGAGGGTGCAGACAGCTGAACAATAGAAGAAACAATAGAAGAAAAATGTAGGTGCACATGCAGATGCTTTAGTAAGAGTCATCAAGGGCCTCTCTAAGAATGGGTGACCATGCCAGGGCTAGTCACCACAGAAGTCAGAAAAACTGTCCCAGGCAAAAGGAAGAGCCACTAAGAGGTTCTCAAGGAAAGACCCATGTGCCCTCCAAACAGAAAAGCTTGCTATTGGCTGCAGGTTGGGGTATGAAGAAAAGCCTGGCAGGCTCAAAATGAAGCCTGAAGGTTGTTGGGCTCAATGGTGGAAGACAAGGGCAGATAGCCCCCTCTGCCTACTGGGAGCTGCCGGTGCACAGCAGGGGTTTGGGAGACACTAGTTAGTACTAAGATGGCTCAAAGTCAGCAGGAAATTTTGAATAGTCTCCTGTCACTAAAAGAAACGAAATTCACAGACAAATCCTGGAAAAGTTTGTGCTGCAGATGGTTTTCTGGTGATTTCTAGCACAAACTCTACAAAACTGAGGCAGAAAGAACTTTTTATTCCATATAACAGTACTTTCAAACTAGAAATAAACAAGGTCCAAATAGATAAGAAATACTTGCAATGTTATAAGAAGATAAACAAGCCCACTAAAAATAGATAGTGAGGGGCTACCAAGACGGCTCAGTGGGTAAAGGCACACACTGCCAAGCCTGATGACCTGAGTTCAATCCTTGCAACCCACAAGCTAGAAGGGAAGCACTGACTGACCTCTGACTTCTGACCTCTGACATCTCTACTTGCACTATAACTTGCATGTCCAAACACATTAAATAAACAAATAAGCAAATGATTTTAAAACAACAACAATAGTAGTAATACAATAAAATTCTAAATAAGTTTTTAAAAGTTAAACAGATACTTCAAAAAATATTAGTAAATGAACAACACTTCCAAGTAAAATGACCCCATATTTTGCTCTTCAAGGAAATAACAGATTTTTTTTAACTATGACTATATGTACTCTGGAGAGACTGGAAATACAAAGATCAGCAATTCAAGTGTAGGTAAAAATGAGGAAACATTAGAAACACTTATACACTACTCGTGAGAAACAGTGTAAACATTGCTGTGTAGGAAACATCTTAGCATCTTAAGTAAAATTGACATCCAACTAATGTATGACCCAGAAGTCCCACCCCTACATATTTACCTAAAAGAAATAAAAATATGTAACTCCATAAATACATACATGGAGATTTGCATAACACTTTTATCCACAATAGCCCCCAAATTGCAAGCAACCCAAATGTCTTTCAACAGGATGGCAGATAAACACATTGCTATCCATCCAGTGGGTACTCAGCAGTAAAACATAAATAAATCACTGTCACATGCAACAGTGGGCATGGATTCTGTGGCCTCTATGTGTATTACATATAGACAGGCCCAGACTTACAGTATCATTCCATTTGCATCAAAGTTTCATCAGCAATGGAATGATGCCAGGGGTTGGCAGACAGTGTAGAAAATTCTTGAGGTGATTAAAAAAAAAATAATGCAGGTGCTGAGTGTGGAGATGGCATATCTGTGTACATTTAGCAAAGTTTATAAAGCAGGACTCTTAAAACGAGTGAGTCTTCTCTGATATGCTCTGATAAACCCTATTTTTTAAGGGAGATCTCATTTTAAAACAGGAGTGTCCAGACAATAGGAAGTGCTCAAAATGTATTGAATGAAAAAACTTTAAAACTTCAGCAAAGCATATAAAAGAAAACAAGAATCCAATCTCATTTAAAATACCCATCACAAATTCTAAACGAAGTGCCAGGAAATTAATCCTGGCACTCTAGTTAGAGGAGCATGTTTGACAAGGAACAGGTTTATTGCAGAAGTAATTCAATGTAGAGAATATCTACTAAATAATTCATCACATCAGTACATCATAAGACTAAACCATGTGACTCCAAAATCATATTCCATCAAGTTTACCCTATATCATTGATCATTTTTTAAACTCCTAATAAAATATATCATGAGCATAATAGAATGTGCTCCAGTCTTCTGCACAGCTTTCCACTTCATGGTGACACCTCAGATATCCTCGGCTACAGCAGAAATGAAGACCAGAGTATTTGCTATTGACCCACACCATCTGTTCATACTTCTAAAAATGCCTCAAATACAGTGGCTCAGAAGCACACATCTGGAAATCTAGGGCAGCTTTTGGAGTGACATGATTTTCTTCTCTCTATTTACTTATTTGTTTGTAACAAGATCTCACACTGTAGCTCAAGCTGACTGGAACACATTATGTAGCCCAGACTGGCCTTGAATGCATGCATGGTGATCCTCCTGCCTCTGCCTCCTTAGTGCTGGGATTACAAGTGTGAGCCTCCATGCTCAGCAACGACATGATTTCATACTTAGGAAGAAAAATGACAAGAGAAACTACTTAAAAAATTAAAAGTAAGATCATGTCCAGCAATTAACATGCTGGGTGGACCATATCTCAGTTATGGCTATTTAGAAAACTGTAAGATATTCTAATTATGTAACAGGAATGTACTACATGAGCAGTTAAAAAATATCCAGAGTTTAGATGGAAAAAAAAGTTTTCTGAAAAAGATATTGGGGGGGGGAGATTAAATGAAGATACCTGTTATTTTCTGGTGAGAAGTCCATTATGAAGATGGCAATATTGTAAAAGTAGCTATTTGTTTCTAACTAATTTAAAATTTATTTGTTTCTAACCAAAATAAAATGATTGTCTGGAGAGAAAACTGGCACACTGGAAAAGTCATCAGGTAAAAACAAGAAGAAAGATAATTTTCAAACAGCGGAGACAGAGCTATGACATATTGTAGCATGGTATGAGAGGAAATGAGGGGAACAGGTAGGTTGGGACAGAGGAGAAAGCTGGGAGCCAATAGTGAATAATGAGAGAGGGAAACTGGCTAGCTATGATGCTTCAGCAGTAAGTAAATGAATGTTCTGAACATCACACATGTAAGTCGTCACAGGTGACCCCTAACTACGAAAGAACTGGTAATATGGTGAGTGAGGCAGGAAGCAGCACCCCTCCACACCCTCTGCTTCTGTTCCTGCCTCCAGGCTCCGGCCTTGAGTTGCTGCCCTGGCTCCTCTTCAGGAGGAACTGTAAGCTCTAAGAGGAGATAAACACTAGGTCTCTCCCCAAAAAAGAAGTAGGTGTCACACTTAAACTTAGAATTGGAAAAGCATAAGATTAAACACAAAGGAAAGTATTGATGATGTCATTCTGAATATTTTCATATCCTTCACCTCAAAAAAATGCCATTGGCAGAGTTGGAAAGCAGGTGGAACAGCTGTGGAAACATCTGCATCTTGTAGAAAGTGGTGGCACTTCTCACCAGGCACTAACAGAGGTCCCACATCTGGTTCACCTGCATGTCCTTGGTATCACATCTAGCATATGGTGCATACTTTAAAATGCCCTATAAATGAATGTGTACATCCCCCAAAGTGTATAAAGAGCTCTCACAATCAAAAATAAGCACGATGAACAGTGCAGATGAACAGTTTGTGAAGATTCAGTAAGAACTAGTCAAAGTGTACGTTAAAACTCATGAAGAAACCAAAGCTATTAAAACAACAATGGAATTTTTATCTTATTACAGAGGCTCTGAAGTCTTTATTTTTTAATTAATTATTTTTTCCAGCCCAATCACAGTTTCCCGTGCCTCCTTTCTTTCCAGTCCCTCCCCACAACCTTCCCTCTCCAGACCCCCCATCCATTCCTCTTCCTTTCTCTTCAGGAAATGTCAGGCAACCATGGCATGTCAAGTTGCTGTACAACTAAGCACCTCCTCTCCTATTAAGGCTGGACAAGTCAAGCCAGTAGGAGGGGTCCCAAAAATACGTAACAGAGTCAGAGACAGCCCCTGCTCCCACTGTTAGGAATCTCACAAGAAGACCAAGGTACACAACTATAACATATGTGCAAAAGTTTTTATTTTTAATCATATATAAATGTATGGAGGGGTGAGTTCATACAGTATAGGGTACCAGATCCCTGAGAGTTTGAGTTACAAGCAGTTATGAGCCACCCGGCATGGGTACTGGGAACAGAACTCAGGTCTTCTGTAAAAGCAGTTTAAACTCTTAACCACTGAGCCATCTTTCCAGACTCAGGTTTCAAGCACTAGTTAAAAAGCAGGTGACCATTTAAAAATCACAGAAGATTAACAATTGTATGTAATTTCATGTTTTAAAAATCACATTATAAGTACTATTATAGTATTAAATCAATTTCATAGACATCTAAGTTCTTATATACATACTTACTTGTATGATACTCTAAGATATTTAAATATGACTTTACACAGCATCTAGAGAAAGGAGCCTAGGCTGAGATTTATGCCACCTGATCTTCAACCTTGGTTCAATACATTTTTCCATCACACTGTTGAACAAATTCACTAACTACTCCCTTTTTATAATGGGCAAAGTAGGCAGAATTATCACCACTAATGTCTATCAAACATCTCTAGATGGCAGAATTAATGGTGGGGTAGACATAAGTGTGAGTAAGTAGCTTCCTGAGACATGGTCTTGAAATCTGGAACATTCTTCTCACACTTGCCAGCAATGAGAATCCTAAGCAATCAAAACTGCTCTTTCTGTCCCTTCTTTGATAAAAAGTTCTCAAGCAGGAAAGAGCTCAGCGACCACATGGGGGTAAAAGCCAGTAAAGTGCCTATCTTGAAATGGATATGTGGATACAATCCTATCTCTTAATTCTATGTGTTGGGGGAGTCCTGGAGAAACAACCATTGATGGAATTCAGATCATTCTTTCTAAACACCTTTCTCCAATAAAAGGAGCTAGTCTCCTTAGAAAGCTGTTTGTCTTGGGATTGGGAAAGGAGGAGAAATAGAATATGAACCTGAATCCTGGTTGGGGCAGATCAAACAACTACAGGCATCAGCCTAGCTTTGCCTAATTAGGGCAAATTAATTAACAAAATAAAAAATGACAATATTGGATTGTCACCAACAAAATATAATAGATGTCCACAAGGTCAAAGAACAAAATACATAATAAAATAATAAGTACGTAAATAAAAGGAGATAGGCATCTCTTGCTTACAGAAGTATTCCAGCACATCTTCAATTATTAATAACCTACTTAAAGAAGGCCTCAAGTGCCCTGTGGATGTTGGATGTTGGCTTCCTTGTCCTAACTTAAAACAGAATCATAGAGGACTTTTTTATCTCTGATCTAAAACATTAAATTTTCAAAACTAGTATAGAATTGTCATCAAACAAATACCATAGTGATCACTTTTGCTGTCAAGGTGTGTTGACAGATACTAAAATCAGGGAGTTGGAAGACAACCCTTTAACCAAATAACCAAGTTACAACCAGTCACAAGATATAGCCACACCATGTACCTCCCTGACAGTGCACTCACAGGATTGAACGTACATACATCGCTTCTACAAAGTCATGCCCAAACTGAGGAACTGTCTACAGAACAACTAACCAACATTCCCATCATACATGTCAAGGTCCTGAAAACATGAAGAACACATGGATGGATACAAAGTACTATTTCAAGTAGTAAAGTATCAGTGGGAAAAATGGATAAGATATAGATAAACTGTGGTTTAGTTAATAATAGTGTAGCAATGCTTATTTCCCGGTTTGATTATTTTTCTGCAGTTCTACAAGTTTTAATATTAAGAAAACTGGGTAAAAGGTATACTTGAGCCCTCCATATTAGTTTTGCAACTTTTCTGTAAGTTTAAAATTATTAATTGTAGGTTTAGAGAAAACCTCAACTATCCTGTCAATAATTCTTATGTTGACCACTTTTCTCTTAAAATAGCAACAAAACCTGTGAGAGTATTTAAAAGGCTAGTCTAAATTGTTAATTTACCTTTAAGTCAGAATGATGTTTCATTGTCTCAGTCTGTGAATGGGGAATCCAATGCTGTCCCTCCCTAAAGACAAAGCAAGAAGAAGTAACCACCCAAGATGTCTGAAGGCAGGGAGGAGTCCACCATTTTCTCTGAGGAAGGCATTTAATCTAGTCCTCTAGCTCCCATTCATCTCTTTAAAACAATCCTCTTAGTCACTCTGGGTGGCAAAAGGAACCCTAAAAACATTCTAAATTCTGTCCCCTAAGAAGGTTTGGCCTCATGGTCCCAACAGTATGTACCTCCATGTCCTCTTCCAGGAGATGATGGACATAGTCAAAGCCATCTATGACATGATGGGGAAATACACCTATCCTGTGCTCAAAGAGGACACTCCCAGACAGCATGTGGATGTCTTCTTCCAGGTATGTATGCACCTGTGCACAGGCTTATACTGATGGACCAGGAGATGTTCCTGTGAGGCAGATGAGTATATGCTACAGAAGAGAGCAAAGAGTCTGGTATCATTAACTGTAAATGGTAGATCCCATTTAAACAATCCTCACAACACATACCTTTAATCCCAGCACTTGAAAGGCAGAGGCAGGTGGATCTCTGAGTTTGAGGCCAGCCTGGTCTACAGAGCAAGTGCTAGGATAGGCTCCAAAGCTACACAGAGAAACCCCATCTGGAAAAAACAACAACAATAGCAACAAAATCCTCACAGGACCTGAGTAGAGGAGACTTCATCCATGGCATTTGTGTACTTACTGGGCACGTTTGTCTGGAGTACAAAGGGGAATGAATGGAAATTAAGGTAAAGCCAAGTTGCAAGATCCCTAAGTGGGGAAGTTTAGCCTTGATCTAGAAAAAATAGGTAGAAACTACTGATGATTGAGTGAAGAAGTGACATCCTTAGTTTAAAAAAAAAAAGTCTATCCATATAGAGTAATAAAAAAAAATGTCAGCATTCACCTTAATAAAAGCCTCCCACTTTACAACTAAGCAAAAAGAGAGGTCTCTGGTATCTTTAAAGTTTACACAGAGATAGATCAGAGCCTTCTGTGTCCAGTGTTCTTTCTTCTAGATAGAGAGGCCAGCAGAAACCATGTGGAACACATGTGCTATGGTTTGGGTGTATGTATGTTCAAGGTTCATGGGAACCTGATCCTCACTGTGGCAGTGTTTAAGGTCATGAAATCTTTAATGGATGGCCTGATGGGAGGCAACTAGGTCCGTGGGAGCATAGCCTCAGAAATACTAGTGCTGTAGCTGCCATTAGCCTGAGTTAAATAAGTGAATCTGCCTCTCCAGCTTCCTGTTTGGTTGTGTGACCTCTTCCAAATGTGCCCACTAAAATGATGCCATGCTTCATGAAGCTCTCACCAGATAGAAACTGGTGTCATGTTCTTAAACCTCTAGAGCAATAGGAAAAGGAAGTCTCTTTTGTTTGTAAAGCACCCAGCCTCAGTTATTTTGTTGCAGTAACAGAAACAGATTACTGCATGGTTGGATGCCACCATTATAATGTAGCAATGAGGTAACTGTTAAGGAAGCTTATGAGGACCATAACAATATAAACAGGAACCAAATGGCTAGCAGAACACCATCCTAATTTTGGGGTTAACACAGAGGAAATTCTGAAATATGAAATTCTATGTTCTGTAGAGACCTCTCTATTGTGTCTTTCAGAAAATGGATAAAAATAAAGATGGCATCGTAACTTTAGATGAATTTCTTGAATCCTGTCAGGAGGTAAGGACAGATCTCGGAACACAATTGCTCTGGGATAGGACATCTGGGGCATGGAAACCTTCACATCCCTGCACTCCCTAGACTCAGAAGTCCATGTCTCCATGCACCAGCCTGGAATGCTCAGCACAGGACCAAGCAGATAGAAGCACAGGTCTGGAGGGTGTGAAGGCCAGACGGTTTTCATGCCAAACAGGTTGCCCCGTCCTTTTCACTGCCTCTGTGCCTGTTCCTTGGATACAGAGGAACAGCTGGAAGACCTTCAACATGATTCTCAATCCAGTGAGCATAGAACTGCCTGAAGTTCTTCCAAAAGCGTATTTGCAAGCTATAATCGCAGACACACTAGAAGGGTCTAGACATCCCCACCATAATTCATATACTCGGTTCCAAGGCTGCTAGAACTTATTTGTGCAAAACCAGACCCCTTGAAGCTCTCATTAAAACACAGGTGGGGCCTGCGCAGGTCTGGGGCCAGGCTTGCCTTGTGCACACTCCTTAGGAGACGCTGCACCGCTATACCTTGAACAGTGCTTTGGTTACGTTTCTTGAATAAATTGGCACCAGTGCCTCTGCCAAGCACTGAACTGGAAATAACTGCTTCATCTACTTAAAAGGTTTATAGTCTACCTCATTCCACAAAAGCACAGCCTAAGGCCCCCGCCAACACAAAGAGCACTAACCAAGCTTCAGCCACATGAAAAGCCTTCAGGCAGATGTCCCACATGGCAGTGTTCCAGACAGTTAACAAATAGGACAGGCTCAACAGTGACCTCTTCTTCTGTTTGTTTGAATTTGTTTTCGTTTTTGCTTCTGTTTTTCCTAGACAAGCTTTCTCTGTGAAACAACAGTTCTGGCTGCCCTGGAACTCAATCTGTAGACCAGGCATGCACCACCGCCTCCCAGCTCCACACTGGCCTTTTTGAACTGACATTTACTATTGTCCTAGAGTGTCCCTGCTGAGCTTGATGTTCAACCATTGGTTGTCTGGGGATCCCAAGGAAGTTTCTAGGTAGTCAGAAGGAATGACACTGAGGTAGAAAATGGAATCAGGTCAGCAGCTGCACCTGTGGAGTTAAAAATGTTTTAATATATAATGATTGTGAGCAGGCTAAGTATCTACATCTGTCATTCCAAGAAGAGGAAACTGAGGCACCACAATGTTAAGAGGTGTGGCTAATGCTACATGAGTAACAGAGACAGGTTTTGAACTCTGCCATGCTTATGGTAAATACCATATCTGACAGACGTGTCCTTTCTTTACTTTGTTTCCTGGGTAAGAAGTGGCTTTCAACCTTGTCCCTCACACAAGCACCTTCCACAGCTATTCCTTTACGTAACTTATGTTTTTCACATGGACATTATATTCAACCCCGCTTTCTACCCAGGGAAACTAAGGCAGGAAACACAGGCAGGAAGTAAGAGTGAGGCGTGAGGTCAATCTGCCTAATTCCAGAACCCACAGCAACTTACAAAGACTCAGATCTTCACAATCAGCTTTGTCTCTCTTGGTTTTTCTCTATCAAAATTCTGCTTTCTCAGCCTTAAACTCAGTGGGACACACCACACACACACACACACACACACACACACAGTCAATTTCCTTGAATACTACTTTAGCCAAGTATTGCTTTGCATTTCACAAAGTTTAATATTTCATATTTTCACTATATTTTAATTCAAAATATAGAAGTGTGTTACTTAGTATGCAAACATTTAAGAACTTTACACCTTCAATATATGTACCTTAGAAAGCTGAGCATGGTGGCACATGCTTTTAATCCCATCACTTGGGAGGCAGGTTGGTGGATCTCTGTGAGTCTGAAGCCTGGAATAAAGCAAGTTCCAGGATAGACTCCAAAACTACACAGAGAATTCCTGTGTCAAAAATCTTGTTAAGAAAGAAAGAAATTGATAATTGCTTACCAACACTGAGTAAAAAGAGAAATATTTCTTAAATCCTCAAATTGCTGATATGAGAAGTAAAAATAATAATATCTACTATCAGTTTTACTGATATTAAAAGATAATTTATTCTTAAATAAAATTTGACAATTTGCATAAGATGTAGGAATTCCTTATAAAGCACAGCTTACTAAAACTAATATTAAAAAATGTAAATATCCCTATGTCTCAAAGACATTGAATCTGTAATTTAAAACTTCACCCAGAGAAAATGACAGGCTTAAATAGCTTAAGTGGTACGTTCTTGCAAACTTTTGAGGAAGAAATGATACTGGTCTCAAGGAATAGAGAATAAAACAGGACCTTCTCAGCTTGATTGACGAGGCTGTCATAACCCTAAGATGGGAAATTGTAAGGTTGGTTTAACATCCAAGAATTAATCAGTATAATTAATCACAATAATAGAATAAACAGGAAAAACTGCGATCATCTCCACAGATGGGGAAAATAATTTCATACAACACATTGACAAAGCATTGTAAAGAAATACAATGCACTGTTCCACTGGGTCATCGATCTCTCCTAAATGCCAAGGTGTTAGCTGGACCTTTGCCTCTTGTTCCTTGTTGATAACGCTGCTGCACATTTCCTTTAGCATGGGAATCCCACTCTTGAGATTTGCTCAGATACTGAGCTCTCAGGCAAGGTCCTCAGGCAGCTCTAACCATCTTCTCTCCCACCACTCTCTTCCCAGGATGACAACATCATGAGATCTTTACAGCTGTTCCAAAATGTTATGTAACTAAGGACATTTGCCATCCTGCTTTCAGAGACACTGAACAAACACCTCAATGCCCTGATCTGCCCTCGTTCTGATTTTACACACCAACTCTTGGGACAGAAATCCCTTTTTCACTTTGGAAGAATTCTCTGCTGAAGACTTTCTACAAAACCTGGAATCGTGTGGCTCAGTCTCTGATTGTCAATGCTTTCTCCTTACTCTTCCTGAGAGAGACAAGATGAAACCTGAGTTTGTTTCAGAAGCATGCCCATCTCTTCATGCTGCTATCCTGTGGAAGGCCCCTCTGCTTGAGCTTAAACAGTAGTACACAATTTTATGCTTACACGTCCCCAACTCACTGCCTCCTAGTCAGGCAGGAATCTGGAAGCCAGAGGATCTGAGCCAGATGTCCACCATCCTCTGAGGGCCTCCCAAGCCAATGTGCCTGTTTCTCTTCCTCTGGTGGGAAGAAAGAGTATTATACAGAATAATTAGAGTTTATCATGACGAGATTGGGAGAGGCAGCACCTAACACATGTAGAATAGGACTGAATTACTAAGCATGGTGTCATCAGATGACCCAAACTGCCCATGTCTTTTGTTCCCAGAGGCAGGAACTAATAATTCTCCTACACTAGCATCTATGCTCATAGAGCAAGTCTCTCAATATGTCCAGGAGGGGGACCGTTGCCCAATGGTCTCTCCCTCCTCTCCATCCCCTGCTCAAGCCCAGCACTGCATGTCCCTCTCAGAAAGTCCAGAATGCCTGCTAAATGCTGTACTTTTATACCCTGTTCTAATCAATAAACAGAACTATTTCATACACTCAATCATTTTCTACATGACTCCATTGCTCAGGAGAGGTAAATTATGATAAGGGATTATTAGGCCATCCTTTCAGCCTCAGGTTACCTGTACTTTCTTGGAGCCACAGTGCCATGACCCTAAAACCACCCTCAGTAGCATCCAATTCAAATGCAGATACTGTGACCATATGCAAATGCAACTTCAAGACAAAGCTTTTCACAACACCTCCTTTCTAACAAGATTGCCCCTCCCAAGACTCCAAGATGGAAAGCCCAGAGCCCAGTGTGGTACAGCTGGTCCAGAGCTGAAAAGAAAGACCAGACCTCTCCACTGAGGGGGTGGAGTCCAAAGATTGACCAAGGAGTTTCATCTTATAACCATAAAATGATTACTTGGGTTCATCATCTTTTATCTTAGTTTTCCCAGTGATGTCACATTAAAAAATTTCTAACAAGAACATCCTTGAAATGATTTATGGATTTGTCTGTCAGGGGCCTCATCACAAGTTTTATAGGATTTCTCTTATTTCATGCTCATGATAGAACATTCCAGAATTAGATTCTTGGTTTTACTTATGAGGACCCTGAAGCTCAGAGGGACAAGAGGTCCTTTCTCATACAGCACTCCTACTCTGTGAGAAAATTCCCCTTGATCTAAGAAACTGAGAGCATTTCCCACAAATCTCAATCGTTTGTAGTCTGTCAAGAGAGACACGGTGTTCTGTTATCCTCTGTTACAGTGATAAACACCATGACCAATAGCAACTTGGGAAGAAAAGAGGTTATTTCATCTTGCACTTTACAGTCTATCATCAGGAGACGTCAAAGTAGGCACTGAGTCAGATACCATAAAGGAATATTGCTTACTGGCTTGCTTCCTAGCTCACAACGAAGCTCAAGTTCAGCTGCCTTTCTCAACCAGTCCAGGCCCACTTGTCTAAGGATGGGATCATCCCCAATGGGCTAGGCCCACCCGTATCAATCAGCAATCAAGAAAATGTCTCCCATGGGCATGTCAATAAAATGGAACTAATTCTCTAACTGAGATTACCTTTGCCCAAGTATGTTTTAGTTTGTGTCAAATTGATAAAACTATTACTTGGGTATTCTTCAAAGCCACTTATCAGATGAAGAAGCTGTCAGACAGAAGAAGGACACAGCTAGCAACTGTGGACCTAACACAGGGACAGGCCACCACAGCACCTGTGTGCATGAGTTACTCCCAGTCTGGTGGCCACTGGCTATCTCCTTTTACAGTTGGGAACTGTTGGGTCCACAGCTTTGTTCTTCTATTTGAGTGTCTTGAGTGCAGTCATATAATCCCATAAAACTGTTAGACATGTGACTTTTCCCCAAGCAGGCATCCTTCTGGACCCAAGCTGAGCATCTATACTCATGGCCTCATATGTGGTCCATGTTGCATCACTAAGCTAAGTAAAGTCTGGGCCAGTGGTTCTCTACACTAGCTGAACCTCAGAGCCATCTGGGGAGCTTCTAAAAAATACAAGTGCCTATGCCCCTCCCACTGTCAAAGAATAAACTCTGAAAATGAGGCCTGAACATCAACATATTTAGACACTACATGGGAAACTGAACACTTCCATCGATAGAATGGAACATGACCTATAAACCACTCATGGCCATAACAGCTGCGTTATGGTAGAATGAGGCCTGGGCTAGCTCAAATAACACCAATCTCAAAACCTGTGCTAGGAATAACAGGACAAGGATTTTTCTCTCTTCTGGGCATGAAAAGGAAGGAACATGCCCTGGATATGCTGGTAATCCCCCAAATTTTTCTGCCAACCAAAGGGCTAGTGTAGCAAGACACCAATAATGCAAGGCAAGGTAGCAGTGTAGTAATAAAAGAAATTGAGTCCCTAATGACATCATGAATCATCAAATCAAACTGTGCACAAAGCTAGATAATTTGACCTTCAAAGATGCTTGCCTTGGTTGCTGATGTAGTGAGCATTTCATACTATACCATTTTTAGGGAGCAGGGAAGGGACATTTTTGAATCACTAAATGTAGAGTCATTATCCCAGATGGACTGGGTCAATATCTCTAATGGTGCCTTGAGCATCAGGCTACTTGAAAGCTCTCCAGGTTACACCACTGTGTACCCAAGGTTGAAGCTCCACTCTAGGCTAAAGGAAGGGTTGGTACCTTTATCCCTGTATTAACCAAGCCATACATCAGAAGCTAAAATGAGCCCTGAGCCTCCTCAGGATGTTCAGACAAAAACTAGAGTGGGAAGTTTCAAAAACACTCTTCAGATTAGTAATCAAATGAAAGGAAAAACTGTCCTGGATTGGCAGCATATTGTGACACATGCCCTGTCTCAAGCTTGTCTTCCTGGCTCATCCAGAAATTGTCACCATTTGCCAGTCAACTGTGTAGTAGATATGGTGGCCACCTTGTCCATATTCCCATTCCCTTAGCACTCACCATCACTGTGTAGTGAGCTCAACTGCTACCAAGCTAAAGTGCCAAGACTTAATGCTGTGTCTCTGGCACAAATATACTCTCGCCATGAGAGTCCCACTCTGCCAGTGAGCAGGACAGGGCAGAATAAATAAGTCATCAATATCTGTAAAAGAAGATGCTAACCCCATGACTATTGGGAGTTAGTGGATTAATACCCCGCATCCTTCCCTCCTCAGTAGGGGACCTTGGAGTTCTCTTCTGTCTCCAAGCATCTTCAATAACACTGCCCTCAATTTCCCACAGTAGTAACCTTTAAACAATCAGATAGATATGTGTCCTGCTTTTATGAGCCTAATGTTCTAGTGGGAGGAATCATAAGGAAATTATTTTTCAATGAAGAGAGTAAGGGTGTATCATGATAGAGGCAAGGGTGGATACTTTATACAGTGTAGGAAATGATACTCCTCTGAAGAGCAGATAGGTTGGCTGGATGTCACCTCGAGCTAAGAAATTCTCTATACACGTATTTTGAGTCTTGCGATGGCCTGGGTATGTCTTGAGTGTGCCCCAACACACAACCAAACGATTGTATGTTGGGACTGTGGTGTTATTGTGGAACTATCGGGTAGTGTTAGAGTCTTTAATATGGGGGAAGAGTGGTATACAATAACTAGGTCACTCACTAGTTGTGCTGCTCTTGGAAGGAATTTATGTACTTCTCACAGGAAGGTAGTTAGTTCAGTAGTTATAACAGATTTGTTATAAAAAAGCAAGCCTGGCTGCTCTCCACACTCGGCTTTCCAGTCTTACTGTGTGATCTTTACCACCACAGTGCCATCTGCCATTGGAGCCTCATGATAGAAAGTGAACCAAAAGGGCTTTCCAATGTAGGACTTCAGCCTTCAAAACTGCAACCTAAACAAATCTCTTTTTTAGGAAGGACGAGTCTCCAAGATTTTGTTACAGGAACAGAAAGCAAACCAGCACAAGTTCCATAACAGTCCTGTGAGCCAGGTAACCCAGGAATCTGTTTTGCAGATGACAAGATGATTCCTGGAAACCCTGAGGAATCTGCTCACGTAGCTGGAAATAGGTTTAGCCAACCTCTAAAAGCCACACCAGTTTTCTTTCAAAAAGAGACGGAAGCTCAGCCCTGGCTTTAAAGACACACAAACACCAGAAGGTGTTTGAAAGCAGCTGCCATGAAAGCTATGAGTAAAAACAGCCATGAAAAGAGTCCATACATCCAAACCATATCACTCCTTCTCTATGGGAAATGAAGCCAAGAATGCATGCAAAGATGGCCATATGTTTCTTAGAGAAGCTAAAACAAGATTTCCTTCCACATCAAAACTAGGACCAACTCAACTGGAAGATTGCAACAAGTTCTTGGAGCTGGGGACAACCTGAAGTCAACCAGCCCAGTGGTGCTTCAAAGGCCCATGAAATGCTGGGGAAGTGACTCATCCCAGTTCTAAGAATGAAGTACATGCAAGTAGACTAAGTTAACCATTTCCTCCCATCCTCATGACTGCAAGGATTGGCTTGGAAATAAACTTAAAACAGGAACCAGTTTCAATACCAACAGTGCGACAACATTGCTCATTTTTCTGCTGGACAAAGTAAAATACACAACCTACAGTTGACCATTTTGTAATCTGAACGGAAGCCAACATATAGATCAGCATATGTTGTAGAAATAAAAGCAGAGAGATGAGGGGAATTGAACTTCTTTTCGTTTGTTTTTTGACACAGGGTCTCACTGTGTTCTTTGTCTAGTCTGGGCCTTGCTATGTAATCCAGGATGACCGTAAACTTATAGAGATCCACTTGTCTCTGCCTCCTGAATGCAGGGATTAAAGGTGTTAGTCCCTGTGAGCAGTGGACTCTTGATGATGTCACCGTGTCACCGAATTGCTAGCTCAAGCTTTGTGTGAAACTGCATGTGCCTCTGGTGTTTTGTGGAACATGCACCAACAAATACCAATAAATTCTTTTTTCACTACTTTGGAAAGTTTACTTGGATCTCCTGTAGTCTATATTTTGGCATATGCTGTCTGTAATGGTTAGTTTTAATTGTCAATGTGATAGAATCTAGTTATTATGTAGATCAGGTTGGTCTATGGGCATGCCTA